ACACAAAGGACAAAGGACGCTCTGGCAGTGCTCATCAGTGGTGCCGCTGCAGCCCAGAAGCCCAAGAATGTCAATGTTGGGCAGCGGAAAGAACCGACGTTTGTGCGATATACGCCGACGAATCACATGGGCGACAACTCCAAGAAACAAGACCGAATCATGAAGATTGTCGAGCGACAGAAGGATCCCATGGAGCTGGCCAAATTCAAACACAAGAAAATCCCTAGAGGACCTCCCTCTCCGCCACCGCCAATTATGCATTCACCTCCACGAAAGTTGACCGCTGAAGACCAGGAAATGTGGAAAATCCCACCTCCCGTTTCCAACTGGAAGAATCCCAAGGGTTTTACGATTGCTCTGGATAAGCGACTGGCTGCTGATGGAAGGGGGTTGCAAGACATTGCCATTAACGACAAACACGCGCAATTCGCAGAATCGGTGAGAATGGCTGAACGCCACGCTCGAGAGGAAGTACAGCAACGATCCAAGATGCAACAGAGACTTGCGGAAAAGGAGAAGTTGCAGAAAGAGGAGAACCTCAGATCCTTGGCCCAGCAGGCGCGAGAGGAACGGAACAAGGCTGGGCGTAAACGACAATCCTCACGAGACTCGCGTGACTCGCGCGACTCGAGGGGTTCTCGGGATTCAAGATCGCGATCCCGAAGCTACAGCGACTCGTACTCGGATGCTTCTGATAGTGAAGACTCAGAGATCCGGGAACGTGAAAAAGCACGTAGGGAGCGACAAAAAGAGGAGGAGCGCAAACTTCGGCAGAACCGAATGGGTGCGGAGAGGCGCATGCAGGTCATGGCCCGGGAGCAGAACAGAGACATATCAGAGAAGATTGCTTTGGGTCTGGCAAAGCCTACGCAGTCCAAGGAAACAATGTACGACTCTAGGTTGTTCAACCAACAGAGTGGCTTCAACAGCGGTTTCAACGAGGATAATCATTATGATAAGCCGCTGTTTGCTGCGCAGGAAGGTATCAACAGCATCTACCGCCCCCGGGCGAACATGGACGAAGACGATGATCCTGAATCGGGCGATCGCGAGATGGCAAAGATTCAGAAAGCGAGCCGATTTGGAGAGGCCCTGGGCAAAGGTACCTTTAAGGGGGCAGGCGACGCTGAGGTAAGTTACAACATCTCCATATCTGGACAATTTTCATTGGCTAACAAATATGCGGTTCAGGCTCGTGAGGGACCAGTTCAGTTTGAAAAAGAGGCTGCAGACCCTTTCAACGTGGACAAGTTCTTATCTGAAGTTGAGCAGACGACATCATCGAAGAGAGGATATGGACTGCAGAGTGAGGGACGGCAGCCCAAGCGTGCGCGAGTGGACGAAGATGATGATTAGGTATATATACATCGGTCACAAGTGTTATAGCGTATTTTCCTTTATGGACTAATTGAAACCAGCTTATCAAAGCCCATTCTTCACGCGAGCGCAAAGGTCGTATCGTGCGGCTCTCCGACAAACAAATATTTGTGATGTGACGCTATTCAATCCAGGTTGCTCTGCCTGGACAGCCACGGCTGAGCTGGTATGACCAAGCCGCTCTCCTATACGTGGAAAGTAGGAGGCCCTGTCCGCGGCTCGAATCCCGTATTGCCGAGGTGGTACAGAGTCAGGCACATAATCTAATATCAGAAACGAGGGAGCCATGCTCCCCCACAACAACAAAGGGGATAGTCGATGACATATGGCTCCGCCAATTCTACTCGGTAGTCAAGATCTTTCTCACTTCCGATAAACTAGGCTGGAAGATGTAAGCCGTTTTCGCGGGGAGCTCGCTGGATGATTTCCCGACAACCGAAATTAAGTGCACGCCTATCGTGGGGGAGCTGGGCTCAAGCAACGGCTAAATGGCAAAGTCCCTGTATGCGGGGATAATAATCGCGAAGCCGAAGAGAACATTCGACCCCATGCCATCTCACACATTCTTGTATCTCTACCTATTGCGAAAGCTGGAAAACTACTTTGGGAATTTTTGTTTGGCATTGACAGGGATGGAGTTGAAGTGATGGGAACGCTTGGCTAAGATATGTTGTATATTTAGGAGTTACCCCGACAGTATTTAGAACCCTTTCTCTGGAGTGTAAGAGGACCGATTTTGGATGATTTGCACACCCGACTGTTGCTGTTGCTGCAGACTCGAATGATGTTTTCGAAGTCGTCACTCTTGTCGCTTCTTGTCTTGGGGCTCCAGGCGCCGCTTCAAGCGTCTGCGAAGTTGGAGGCCAACGAGACAGACGGCCGATTCATCCTTGCCAACGACCGGTTCTACACCGCCATTGACAAGTCAATAGGATCTGTGGTGAGCCTCACTCTCGATGGGCAGGATTTGCTTGGTCCCAAGAGTGGTGCTACCGGCCAGGGGCCATACTTGAATTGCTACTGCATTCCCTCGGGTTTCTGGACGCCCGGCACCCAAAAGCCAAGCTATGAGTTGTACTCTGGCACCGACTCTACGGGGACCGCCTACGGTGGCGTCAAGATGTCCGATACTTACATCGCGACGGGCCAGGTCCTCGAGCAGTATTGGTTCCTCCGTGACGGCGAGACGGGCTTGCACACGTTTAGCCGGGTGGCATATCACAACGAAACGACACCCTTCCTGCGGAATCTGCAAGAGCTGAGGACAATGTTCCGCCCGAACACTGATATCTGGACCCATCTTCTGACCAATAAGGGACACTATGCTCCTCTTCCTGGGTCAGAGGCCACAAGCAAGCAGGTCACAGTGCAGGATGCGACCTGGTATCTTGGGAACACGCCCGACGATGCATATGTGAAGGAACTGGCGGATTACTTCACCAAGTACACATTTTCTGACCCATGGAGAGATCTTGACGCTTATGGCTTGTACGTGTACAGCTGATTCTATTTAAAAAATGGGCAATGGCTGATTATGTTGAGTACAGATTCGCCGATGGCTCCAACACCCCCGATGGATCGACTTATGGAGCTTGGCTGGTGATGAACACCAAAGACACGTACTTTGGCGGTCCAACCCATTCAGATCTTACTGTGGACGGTATCGTGTACAACTATATCAGCTCCAACCACCACGGTGACCAGACGGTACTCTTCACATGCCCATCTCCTGTACCATTTATACCCAGACTAAGCTGACAATTAACAGCCTGACATCACAAACGGCTTTGATAGAACATTTGGACCTGTGAGATCCCACTTGTTGGCCCGATTCTTCCGAAACATAGAATATTGACTTGCGAGCATAGGCCTATTACTATTTCAACCGCTTCCCAGAAGGTTCCGACATCCTCAAACTACACGAAGACGCTGCCCAGTTCGCCAATCCTACTTGGAACGCAGAGTTCTACGACTCCATCGCAGAGCATGTCACCAACTACGTCCCGTCCTCGAAACGAGCAACCTGGAAGCTCCATGTCGACCTCCCCCAGAACGCCAAGAGGCCCCTGGCAGTCCTGTCCCAGAACGGGGTTGATTTCCAGGAGAACGTTCTCGACACCAAGGCGTACCAGTACTGGGCCAACATCGACGAGGAGGGCTACGCCACGATCCCCATGGTCAAGGAGGGCACCTACCGCCTCACAATTTACGCCGATGGCGTCTTCGGCCACTACATCAAAGACGACGTGGCCGTGACCGCCTCCTCCGGCGTGAGTGTTATGCAAATGACCCACGCCCGCTGGCGCGAGGAGACCGAGGGCGTGGAGATATGGCGCCTGGGCTACCCCGACCGCTCGGCCGGCGAGTACAGGCACGGGACCGCGCGCGACACCAAACACACCCTCCACCCGGAGGAGTACCGCATCTACTGGGGGGCCTACGACTTCGTCGAGGATTTCCCCGAGGGGGTCCGCTTCAAGGTTGGGCAGAGCAAGGAGGCCGAGGACTGGAACTACATCCACTGGAGCGTCTTCGGGGGCCGCTCCAACTACAACAGGCCCGAGCCGTACGTCGGGGACGGCAACGTGAACAACTGGACCGTCGCGTTCGACCTCGACAGGGCGCAGATCGAGCGGAAGCGACAGGCCACGCTGACGGTCCAGCTGGCGGGCGTGAAGACGGCGGCGGGGAACACGGACGTGTACAATGCGTCGGAGCCGTACGCGAACCTGCCTTATACTGTCAACATCAACGGCCAGGATCTCGAGCCATGGGTTATTCCGTAAGTTTGTTCAACTCGGGTTTCAAAACTGCCGGCTTCCTTCTAAATACTGATTTGTGAGATAGGTATAACCAGAGCAGCTCGTGCGGTGTGCGCTCTGCTGTGATCTGCTACGGCGTCGCCCATAAGTTCATCTTCAAGCCTGAGTTGCTGCGTGAGGGGGAAAACGAGTTTGTGCTCAGCTTGCCGTACAACGGCACCAACTACGAGTCTGCGTTGCTGGCAGAGACGGTGTATGTGCAGTATGACGCACTTCGCTTTGAGATTGTCTAGGCGAGAGACGAGGTGGTTGATCGATAGACAGCTATACTTCCTTACTCAACATCAAGAATAATGTATTCGAAAGTACCCGTGCTCGAACAGATCTATTGTGATGTGGACATCGGCCATTCCCTAGAAAGGAGATACTGGAGTTGGCTGCGGAGTTTTACAAGACCAGAGCCGCGTTTTCGCGAAAGTCCGCAAGTGGTACGAATTCCCCTTTGCACAATAGTTACGTGCCGCAATGAGTGGAATATCCCGGAGGCACCGCCCAATGCCCGGCGTATAATGAGGGTCTCGTGTGGAGATCGGATCGGCTTCAGTGGTGATGCTTGTTGCACGAGGCTGGTCTGGCTCCGGATGAGCAATTTTCAAAGTTCTTTTCCATTTAATGGATCATTTACGTAGAGCAGAGTATACCGTAGGGATATAAAGGATTGACCTTCGTTGAATGCCTGTGCTTTCGTCATTGCTGATTCAACTGTTGACTGAACCCCATCCTCAACTTCAAGTACCAATCAAGCATTTATCAACTACCTAGCATCAGCAAACCAGATTGATTATCTCTACTTACTTACACCTACAAAACAACCTCACCAAAGCCTCCAATCAACCAACAATGGCCTCCCAGCTCCTCTCCCCCAAGGCCACCACCCTCCTCCTCACCACCCCCCTCATCTCCTCCTCCTGCTCCCTCTGGTTCTCCCTCGACCAGCACTCCTTCTTCTCCCTCCTGGTCCGGCCCAACGTCCGCGGCGCCAACGAGGTCCTGCCCCCTTACTTCGCCAACACCTTCTGGGCCAACCTCTGGAAGGTCGTCGGCCTCCTCGGCGTCACCACCTGGTCCTCCGTCGGCGCCATCTACCTCGCCCGCCCGCTCCTCCGCGCCCGCGGCTCCCTCCCCTGGTACGTCGCCACGGCGGCCCTGGCCACGGGCCACCTGCTCTTCGTTCCCCTCGTCGCGCCGTCCGTCGCCGCCCTCATCGAGGACCGCGGCGGCCAGGCGTCGTCGTCGGAGGGACAGGGGAAGGGGAAGGGGAAGAAGTCTAACAGCGACTACATGAGGGACTGGCTCGGCGTCAACTTGGTCCGCATGGTGACGACCGACTTGGGCGCTTGGGCTTGTGCCGTGGTGGCTGTCACGACTACGTTCACCCTCCCTTAGTGGAGGAAGAGCAGAGCTTGATCTGTATTAAACAAAAAAAACAGGAAGTTGTTTAGTAGAAGAGTGGTAAAGATCCTTGTCAAGCAACACCTTACTTACTTACACCCGAGAAGTAGTCATGTATCTTAACTCGATCACAAATTCGATGGATGAGCGTGATCCTGTACCCTTGAAAGTGAAATCGCGTTGTAGACGTTTTCTTATCGCTTTGAATATCATATATATTGTTCTACGTATACTGAATCGCTGCAGGTTCTCTTCAGAACATGTCAATCTGTTTGAATGCAGCCTCTATCACACAGAGCATTGTCCAATCTTGGCCCAACAGAAATCTCCCATCTCGCTTCCCATTCTAAGTAAGATATGTGTTACGTCTTGAGATGAACCCACTAGTCACCGATCCAAAAAATGCAGTTACAAATAAAGAAAACATGAACATAGACATCATTTAGAACCACTCGCCACCCAACCAGCGGTTGTAGAAGTCGACAGAGTTCTCGGGCTGGTCCATGGGAACCATGTGGCCGGCGCCGTAGATGCGCATGAAGGTCAGGTTGCCGCTGGACTTGACCTTGCCGTACTCCTTCTTGGCGTTGGGGGTCTTGAGATCCTTCAACTCAGCCTTGGAAAAGCCAGCATGGCCGTCCCACTCAAGCTCGTCAGTCCAGGCCTGGTTACCGAGCCAGTTGCAAATGAAGTCCTTGTCACCGGCATAGATGAGAACGGGAATCTTGGCAAGAACATCGGGAACGATGCGGTGGTATGGCTTCATCCAGTCACCAGCGAACATGAAGTTGCGGTTGATGTCAAAGTTGCAGCTGTCGTAGGTGCTGACCTCAGCGCCAAGAGCATCCTGGACCGACCTCTGGTTGAGGTAGTCGGAGATGTAACCAAGGCCAGAGTAGCAAAGGTTGGAAGTATCCTCGCACTTGCCACGGATGTCATAGACGTTCAGACCGGTACGTTGGTAGGGACCCATCATGGCGTTGTTACAGTAGATGGTGGCGGGAACACATGACCAGGCGCTCTCAGAATCGTAGCAGTTCTGGATGAGAGACTGGCATCGGGGGAGAGCGTTGTCCATCGACTGGCACTCGCCCTGGCTTAGAACAGATTCGTGGCCACCCTCACCGCACGCCATGGGGCGGTAGTAAGCGTACTGGGTAAGGCCGTCAGTGAGACCGTTACCAATGAGCACACTCTTGAGGTTGATGTTGCGCTCCTCATGCTTCAGGATCTCGTTGGCAAAGACGGGGATGTAGTGGCCAGCATACGACTCTCCAGCAATGTGGAAATCCTGCTTAGCATACTGAGGGAACTGTTGGAAGAAGAGAGTGAGGAGGGCATAGATGTCCTTGCCGGCAGCAACAGTGTTGCTGACACTTCCACTGCTGTAAGAGTAACCAACATTGACGGGCTGGTCGAGGAAGATGACGGAAGCATTGTTGTTCCATGCGGAGGGGTTGTTGACGAGCTTGAGCTTCTGGTCAACAGAGGCAGGGCCCAGCTCAAGGAAGAGACCAGTGAGCGAGGAGCAGCCTGGGCCACCATTGAGCCAGAGGACAACTGGGTCGTTCTTGGGGTCGTTACGGGACTCGAAGAACCCTGGAGGTAGAAAGTTAGTATGATGAGAATGAAAGAGAGCGTAATGATTACATACAGTAGAACAAGTGCTTGTCCTCCTCCTCGTCATCGAGGTAACCGCTGTACTGCTTGACGGTGTCGACGCCGAGCTTGGAGGGGTCGACAGACTTGGCACGAAGGTTGTAGTTCTTCAGGTAGCTATCGGCACGGCCGGTAGAAGAGGCCGAAACCTTGGCCTTGTAGACCTCCTCGCCCTTGACGATGTGATCCCAGTGGGAGTCTGGGCGACGAGTAGCAGGCTTGGGCTTGGGGCCGGAGACGGTCTGCTTGAAGGCCTCGATGGCATCGGGCATCAGCATAGAGACTTCATCCCAGACGCCCTTGGCCTCGGACTTCATCTCGCCATAGAGCTCCTCAAATGGCTTGACCCATGACTCGGTCTTGTCCGCGAAGGTGTACGAGACCTTATCGGAGCTGCCTCCAGTGAGAACGTGCTGCTCGGCAGCAACGGCCGAAGCGGCGCCCAAAACGAGGGCAGAAGAAGACAGACGCATTGTGGCGATGCGGCAATCTAGTTAATCGATGATGGATGTAATGGGAGATGAGGAGGATGGATGGGAGGAGAGATGGAAGAGGAGGGAGGACTGACTAGCTGCTGGAGGTAGATAAGCACGGCGAAGCCTCGGGTGCCGGGCAACTCAGTTCCCAGCTCAAATAGGTTCTCCGGCCTGCTACAGACGCTACGTAATTCATGCGGGCGTGCGCATCAGCCACTCAGAGTCTGGATCGGGCCCCACCCAAGTCACAAGTGACGCCCCAGCCCGCAGGTGCCTGGCATGCAACTGCAGGTGGAACAGCGCCTGTGTGGAGGAGGAGACCTGGCGCTAGCCCCGGTGGTACAGCAGCCTGAGCCGCGTGACTGTTTTCCCCATCAAATGCGCCATGACAGCCTGGAGCTCTCCGCTGGCAGCAGGGGAGCTTCGATTACGTAGTGCCACAGTTGGCCTGGCGCAGCATCGAGATAAGACATGCAGGAACCAGTAGATAAGACATGCCCCTGGTGCTTCTCCGACACCGGCTCACATGTCCATTATCCTTGGGTTTGTTGGGCTTATGGCGCTGCACAAGTGGTTTCATTACTGATACATAATAATAGTATTGAATTAATATGCAGTTCTATACCCATTTCCCCCTGCTAACACCTTTGGATGCATGTAGTGTAATAAGTCGGCTGGATGATAATCTGCCACGATAACTAAGTGAATGCGCTAACCTCCTCGACTGATTGCTGAACGATAATATAATACACGCGAGGTCGCTGTAATACTACGATAGAGATACACACGGGGCGATTTATGCAGTCAAGTCTTCTAAAATAGCCTCGAGCTCATCTTTCCGGAATGGGACGCTGAGTAACTCAGTGCCCAGGGCATCCTTTCGGCTAGTGATGATCTGGTGATCGTGGAATCTGGAACAACCTGTTAGCACGCTTCTTGTTCGTTAAAGCAGAATCACCACATGACATACTCTTTCAATAGCGTCCGGAAGGCCATTTCCGAACTGCAAATAAATTCTTCCACCGATTTGTTGTAGAGCATCCTATACTCGACACCCACTTCATCGCCTTCACTGGCCTCCTCCTCCATTGCGATGAGGATTTCACCGACGATAAGCTGGAATAGGTTCTTCGCGTTGTCGGGAAGACTGCGAAGAACGAAAGCGACACCTTCACGGCCGTTGACACGATGAGCCTTCCTGCCAAGGAGTTCGTGGACATCATCCACGACGTTAAGCTCAACAGTGAACGGGGAAAATGTGGTACAATCATGGAATGTGAAGTTGAAAGCAGACCTGAGACCAATATCCCATAGAAGAGAAAAGTCGGGGGTATCAGCAGAACATGCGAGGCCGACTTGCGGGTGGGAGGCTAGCTGAGCAAGTACTGACTGGTGCCCGAGTTTCCTTAGAGGCACAGCATCGATCGAGTTGACAATGATTGTGAGGACAATATTGGTGGTCGAGAGATGGGCGAGTATGTTTTGAACCATAGCAGCCGGCTGCATGGTCGGAATTCGCCTCTTCGGATCTACTGCAACCGCGACGGTAGCAAGGATCTCTCGCATAGTCATTGTTGATGCATAGCCGTTGACCATGACGATTTTCCGCACTTTTCCTTTTGGACTTGTGGAATGAAGGTGCTTTGCAAATTTCTGGAGCAACTGCCTTTTCGATCCGTATCCGTACAGACAAAGGCTGAAGCCTTCCGCCAATTCGAAGGCCCATTGCGGAAACGATTCGGCATGCAAAGACTCGAGGTATTGTATGTCCCCAGTATGCTTTTCCTCTCGCCCGTTGAGAATCTTGAAGTATTCATCATGCGTGAGCAAATCCAAGGAGGCGAGTGTATTATTCGAGGTTTTCGGTCGCCCAGGCTTATTCTGTGCAAAATAGAGCTCGTGAGGGGGGAGGTCGCGAGGAGGTGTTGGAGATCGTGCTTTCTTTCGAGCTCTTCGTTTGGTTGGAGTTACAGCAGGTTGTTCGGCCGCGTTGTCTGTTAAGCCATCCTCGCCTGGTTGCTCCTTGCTGCTCTTGGCACTTTGGAAGATCTCCTCGTCCGCTTCGCCTTCGCTCGATTCGTATATTTCCCTTGCCAGAGCATCCTCATCATCTTGGTCGTCGCTGTCGCCATCTCCCACAACCTGCTCTATCAACGCCCTTGCACTCTTTCTTCTCGCCGATCGGTCTGCGCCTGCCTGCCTTCGCGGCGTGGCGTCGTCGGTGATGATTCCTTTTGTCGGAGTTTGAAAGGCTCGTTGACGTTTAGCTTTTGGTGTGGGCGTGTTACTCTGCGACGCTGCTTTTGGAGGGCGCCCTCTTTTCCTTGGTGTCGTCGTGGGTTCTTGAGATGGTGCTTCCAGAGCCGGTTCTGAGTGCTCGCTAGAGTCGGATGTGCCATTCTGGTTGCCGGCCCCATTGATGCTTTCCGATGCACCAGACTCGACATTCTGGTGTAACGAGTTCACAGAGCTCCGTCGCCTTTTCGATGGTGTAGTAGCGTTAACATCTTCCTGGGAAGTTTCCGCTTCGAGATGCGACCTTTTACGACGCAGACGCGACTGGTCTTCTGCCGGGGAGCCCTCTGTGTTGACTTTTTTTGGCGGCATCGTTCTGCTTGGGCAACGGGTTTGTGAGAGTCGCGATCCTCAATTAATTTAGCATTCAATACTGGGCCGAGTCGCGACACCCCTGCCATCCCTCCAGGGACCTGTCGCTTGGCATTTGTGGCGCAGCACTGGAGCGTTCATGGTGTGGCGCGAGCTCAACGGTCTCTAAAAGGTACATCTCGATTCTAGCGATCGCTCTAGGTCATGTTAAAAGCACACCAATCGGCTTGAATCCATCCTGCCTGTAATTAGCTACCTTCACATCTTACACATCTCAATCCTGCAACAGGCATGCTGGCTCATCATGATCAACTTCAATTTGTCAGCTACTTTTAATGTAGTCCGGATCCTGTTCAAGCCAAGCATCTGTCT